AATAATAATAATAATAATAATAATAATAATAATAATAAAGAAGGAAATAATAATTGTATGAAAGAATTGCAATGGATGTCCTCAATACATAACCATTGTGGACAACTAGATATTCAATCTTATAGTTTTGGCAATTTAATTCTTTAACCTCTCGAAATTGTCACATGCATTGGATTTGATCCAAATTCGTGAAATAAAATAATTCTATTATGGAAAGGAAAATAGAATTCTAATTTTACAAGAAAATGAAAATATTGAGGAAAAAGAAGTCGCGCGGTAGAAGGAAACTTATTAAAGGAGATAAAGGGTATTTTCTATAAATTCGTGTCATTGCATTGAGAATGAGTGTGCTTACCACCAGGGCAGCGTGAATTCGGTTAGAGAACTATGTGCATCCAAAGTTGTGAGAGTATACAGAGAAACTAGAGAAAAAGGGAACATGCAAATTTACGTCATACATTGAGTGTTCTAATTTTGTGTAGAGAGCAGTTGTGAAAGTGAGGAAAATATTGTATTACGAGGTTTTTCTCAACTAATAAAGTTTTGTTGGTAGTTCGCCGAACCACTTTTAATTCGTTTTTTTCTCTTTCCAAATCGATTTTTGTTTTTTTGTTTTTATTGCGTTTGGTGGGATTTATTTCCTAACAAGTGATCTTCTCCTTACTCCTTTCATGCTAGGAGCCTCTCCTAATCGTTAGCTTCTTAATCGTACATTCAGTTGTGCTTCATCATCAACTTCTCAATCCTTCCTCGAATTGTGCTTCATCAGAGAGGAGATAATTCATTTATGATTCCAATCTAGTAGATAAACGCATCGACCTCTCTTTACGAAGAGTAATTCTATGATTGATCGTTGATTGTTGTTTTAATGAATTCATGAATTTATTTTTTATTTTTTATTTTTGGTATAAAAATACATTGCTCACTCTAGAGTGCTAGTTGCTCGAATGCTCATTGCTAGATTGTTGGTGTCTGGTTGCTTCACATTCAATTTTCACATTTTTAGTGTGAAAATGTGAATTCATCTATATAATTTAATATTTTTCTCTAGAGAGTTGCCTAAGGCCTCGCATAAACAAAGGCTCCAAAATTTGGAAATTTATATAATTTAATATATTTCTCTCTCTATTTAATAATGAATATTTTAAAATTAGAAAAAATGGAAAACCTCAAAATAAAATTCAACCCAGCAGTAAGAATAAGATATGCTTAGCCCAACAAATTGAAATCAAAGACCGTCTCTTTCACAGGGTTTCTAATTTTTTTCCTCTTCCAGAACATAGTTTTTATAATAAAATCAAAAGATGGTTTTATTGCTGCCACAATTTTTACCTGATATTCACAATCTTTACTTATGGTAACAATTATTTTTTAAAATTTTTTATCGAATTCTTATATTTGACTTTTCATTAATTAGTACGTCTCGCCCTTAATAATGATTTATAACAAAATATATTTTTTTCATACTTTGAAATGAAGGGAAAATATTTTTTTCGAGCTTTTTATTTATTTCTTCTAAAATATGATGTGAAAAATAATTTATTTTATGCCATTTTAACGAATTTTTAGATATAAATCTGTTGTCAAATACAAAATGTGTTAATTAATTAATGAAAAGTTTGAGGATAAGAATGATATAAAAATCATTAGGGATATAAGTACTATAATGAACAAAGATTAAAAATTTTAATTGCAATTAAAATATGGTTGGTGCAAGAAATAGAAATTATAGTGTGAATATAATTACACATAATCAAATATATGAATTTCTAATATACAATTTGCATTTTCTTTTTCTTCTTATAAGATTTTTTCCATTATTTCATTGTCTTTGAATCTTGAATTGATTTTTATACTTTTACTTAATGTGTAAGGAATCTAGAGTGCATTTATATTTAAGAAGGTTGTGCATTTATTTTTTTCACATATTTTTATGTAACTGTGACTTTAGCATCGATTCAAACGTTATGGTATTTTTATGTATTTGATTTTTTCAATATAGGATAAGTTCCTTATTTTCCTGAGCATTTATAATTTTCACTTTTTTTTTTTATAATTGTAATTGAGACTTTAGCATCTGTTCTAACGTTGTGGTATTTGTCTGTATTTTATTTTTTTAATGTAGGGTAAGTTCTCTATTTTGCTTAGCATTTATTTTTTTTCACATATTTTTTATTGTAATTGTGACTTTAGCATCTATTCGAACGTTATGGTATTTTATGTATTTGATTTTTTTAATATAGGATAAGTGCTTTATTTTGCACACATAAGTCAACATATTCGATTTTTTTTGGCTAACAGTTTTATGCTTTGAATTTTGATTCTCTTTGGACAATATTATGATTTGATTTCATACTGTGCATAAGTCACAATTACTTTTGAAAAATTACATACATTGTAATTCGTCAAAAGAATAGATATATTGTAATTCGTCAAATACTTACATACTCGTCAAAAAATTATATAGAGTATAATTTTTCTTATTTATTTTTAATTTTATATTATAATTTTACAATACTTTACAAAAATCATTTTTCCCCCCGATTAACTTTCCCTTTTTTTCTTTTTTTTTTCTTTTTTCCCCCTATTTGTGTAAATTGCCTTGACTAGGATGCCTACATTGTGATTGCCTGCCTACAAAGGGGGCCAACTTATGGCCCGTATTTGACCCAGGTTTGGTCCGGGCTTTTCAAGGGCTGCTGGAAATGCGTGGCCCATTTTGACATCTCATTGACCAGTAAAAGAAGCTTTAAAAATAATGTCTATTTCTTCTTGCTTATGTCTCAAACATGTAAATTGTTTTAATTAATTGGATTTTAATGATCAGAGCTTTCGCATATTTCTTAAAAATGAAAGGCACGTTTTCATAATTTGAGTGGTTAATTTGAAAAATATAAAAGAGAAACATATACAGTATTCAATATAATATGATACATATAACATGTGTCTTGATTTTAATGGATGGTCTATCGCATAGACACAATATCATGATATCGAATTTTTTTCTTCACAAGGATGCTAGAAGTCTTTTTTGTAGATATTTAAAAAAAAAAACAAACAAATTCTTCATAAGAACGCTAGGTGTCTTTATTGTAAATATTTTAATATTAAATTACAATATATATATACACACACACATTTATGTCGAGTTTAAACATGACCACTTATTCTAGTAGGTTAGTAAGCTACCTCTTCTACTTTCGGCAAGGATGGCTCTGAAGGGAGAGTTTTTTGGAACCAGCGTTATCGAAACTTAGGTGTGGCATTTCAAGTTAGCGAAGAGGTGTTTACATACATTTTTAAGGTATGCATGACATAGGTATGCACACGCACCTGTTAATAAGATCCATTTGGTACTTGGATAATATATTTATTTGTTTTTGAATAGGATAACTGAAGATACATATATAATAATATACTATAAGAATCTTAATTATATAATATAAAAACTTAAATTTTGTACTGAATAATCCTCGTATTCAAAAGATTTCAACTAAATATACGGTATGCAAATATATAACTTCTAATTATTTAATCTATGTATTCTACAACATGCTTGTATTCTATATATTTATGTAATATACTCATCAACGTATCGGTATTAAGAAATAAACAATTTACCGTCTTAAAATACAGATGTCATGTTTTCCAAAAAAATAATAATAATAATAATACAATTAATATGTTAAATTGGATTGTACCAAATAAGATTAAAGAAAATGTTAAATTAATGTCTATCTTCAAATACACAGTGATGCTACCAAAAATCGTACCTGTAGATTTCCCGAGCTTGATGACTGGTGAGGAGCACGAACGTGATCTTCCGATACCTGAAACAAAGGCAACGAGGTGTGTTCTCGTCGCCCCTCCGATGCTTAAGTTAGAAAGGGAAATATATGCGTGAGGCTATATGCTGAAGAACAATGATAAAACGTACCTGAATAATGGTTCAAGGTTCTGTATTTATAGTAGTAAGTGACATTCTCCTAATTGGACTCAACTAGTTGGATGTCCTCATCTGTTGGAGTCCTGAATGGTTAAGGAGTTGGTTGAATTCCAGAATTATGCGTGAGATATGACTCCTGCGGGAGTTAAGATTCCTAATTGCGTAGGAATTCTAAAGTGTGAACAATCGTCAGCAGTAAGGAGGAGCACATTCCCGAGGACTATGCCCGAGAACACATGTTTGCAATATGCGAGCATCATGGAGATGTGGTCGGGCCTTGTGTCTCGAGGACGAACATGCTCGAGGACACCACAGATGGATTTACAACTTTACCAAAATTAGTCCTCGGGATATACTGATCGGGGATATTGTAAAATGTCACCATCACACAGCAATGAGAATCATTACTAGTTTGCATTGGTAGTCGGTATGGTGTCTATATTCATTTAGAGCCCACCATGATTTTTTAAAAATGACGAAATTTGGTAGGAAAACTCAAATCTTCTGAAGTAACCCTCTTGCAATGGCCATAGTAAATAATATCTACTTATAAAAAAAATTCTTCTGAATTCTAGATTTAATGTTTAATTTATTCTTATTGAAAATCGTTTTCACCCTACTTATTTCGGTCATTTCTTCTAGATTTATGTGTTGTGTCCATCATGCTCTCACTTTCCGACTCTCTCATGCTCACCCTGGATTTAATGTGTAAATAATGCAAGATCTCAATTATACACCAAACATTTTTTTTTTCTTTAGATGTGACACAAAAACAAATATAAAGAGAAAATTGCAAGAAGGAAAACCACCTAACCTTATTTCCACATCCACAAGTAAGCACCTAATTTGTAGGTAATTGAAAAGGAGACCTTAAAATACTGTACGAACTTGCGGTTGTTCACTAAATATTTTTGACCTCATATGTGCAAACGAGGACACTTAAGTAAATTTATAACTCCTCCTGTCGATATATAGGTGAAGGCTGCCTTTGGAAATTTATGAATTCCTAGTTCCCTTGGCTTTTTGTTATCATTTCAATTGTTCTTCAAAAAAATTCCCAAGAAAATCTTGAAAATGGCTGACAAAACCAAGATTTTGATCATTGGAGGAACCGGGTACATTGGCAAATTCATAGTGGAAGCAAGCGCAAAATCTGAGCACCCCACTTTTGCTCTGGCTAGGGAGAGCACAATTTCTGATCCTGTTAAAGGAAAAATCATTCAGGGCTTCAAGAATTCAGGTGTCACCATACTTTCGGTATGTTAATAAAACTTAATAGTGAATTCCCGACCTGTATAGGAAATGACATATTTGGTACGCTGGACTAGAACGAAATTGAGAAAGAAAAAAGATTAAACTTTTGACCTTTGTCTTGTATAATATTTGTCAAGTATTATTTTCTTTTATTGCATACCAAATGAGAGAAAATGGTGAATCTGGGACGTGCTGTGTGAAATTTTCAGGGCGATTTATATGATCATGAGAGCTTGGTGAAGGCTATAAAGCAGGTGGATGTGGTTATATCAACAGTTGGTCAACTTCAATTAGCTGATCAGGTTAAGATCATTGCTGCCATTAAAGAAGCTGGAAATGTCAAGGTTGGTTCGATGGCATCTGAACAAAATTAAAAAGGAAAAAGAAGTTAAAATATTGTCGACTTTCATTCTTTTGTGCAATACAGTTAAATATTACGTACTAGATATGTCTTCCAAGAAAGGATATTTTTATACTCTTTTTTCTCCAACTTTGTAGAGATTCTTTCCATCGGATTTCGGAACTGATGTAGATCGATGTCACGCTGTGGAGCCAGCCAAGTCTTCGTTCGAGATCAAGTCCCAAATTCGCAGGGCCATCGAGGCAGAAGGAATTCCTTACACCTTTGTATCAGCTAACTACTTTGCAGGCTATTCCCTTCCAACACTGGTGCAGCCAGAAGTCACTGCTCCACCCAGAGATAAAGTCATTATCTTAGGCGATGGAAATGCCAAAGGTCAATATTGTCATGTTTGATACACTGAATTAACTCGAATATTGAAATTTTCGTCACATAATCTTCTTTAGTCTTGTCCAGTCGAGACATGAGATTACCTTTCATGTCCAAACGTTCGATGTCTTAGCTTTATTTTTTTCCGTTCTTGTAGCTGTTTTCAACGAGGAAAACGACATTGGCACATACACCATCAAAGCCGTGGACGACCCAAGAACATTGAACAAAATCCTCTACATCAAGCCTCCCAAAAACATATATTCATTCAATGAACTTGTTGCTTTGTGGGAGAAGAAGATTGGTAAAACCCTAGAGAAAATTTATGTACCAGAGGAACAAGTTCTCAAACAGATTCAAGGTTAGTCAGAATATTAATTTTGAGCAAAATATTTAAATCCCTTTTCAAGATGTTTTATATGGAAAGTACTTATTCTTGAACTAATTGTAATTATTGCAGAATCTCCGTTTCCCATCAATATTGTAATGGCAATCAACCACTCAGCATTTGTGAAGGGCGATCTGACAAATTTTAAAATTGAACCATCTTTTGGAGTTGAGGCTTCAGAGCTTTATCCAGATGTTAAATACACCACTGTGGAGGAGTACCTTGATCAATTTGTTTAAATTATTAATTACTTCTACTTGTTGGCGAAGTGTGTATTGTCGAGACAAACTATTGTATAACTATTCAAAAATGTTTAAATAAATAAGCTCATCTCTTTTTTAATAGGGATGAGGTAGTTCAATGTAGTAGCAAAGCATGTAAGTGTTCTAATTTCAATATTGCCGTCACCTATTTTCGTAAATTATGCACGTAATAGACATTTGATGAATTTGAATACATGTGAAGGACTAGTTGAAAATTAATGACTTAGAGTAACTCGATAGAAACATTTCATGCACATTATTTCAACTCACTTTTGAGAAACTAAAGTTTCATGAAAAATTTAGAAAATTATGTTCCACCAAAATCAATGTAACCATAGCCCATGTTTGGTTCAACTAAAAAGTGGATTAAAATTGGAGTCAAAGTTTTAATTTTAACCATATATGCCACAGGACTCGCAATATTTCAATCATACATTTCATCAATTTTTATCAAAATTTACTTAAAAAATTTTATATGAATCAAACAGGGGCTATATTACACTTGTGGTTTGGCCTAGATGGTTTATACTATTTTTCAAAAAGAACTCTAACCGATAGAAGATCAGAGACGCTAAAATATCAGGGATAGAATCATAGAAAACATATTTAAGAACCAAGAAAGAAATATTCACATTAGGAGGAGGAGGAGACACGCGTGGAAATTTTTTCCATGGATAGATAAGAGGTCCCTCAATTATACAAGATATTTAGTGACTTCTCCCTCCCTGATGAATTAGCTTAATGCCATTGGATTCTACTTTAGTTGGGCTGTCATTTTTTATTGGACTTCGACACATTGGGCTTCTCTTGGATTCATATCTTGCATTGCTTATTTGATTTTTATTAGTGGGATTAATACATAAGACCAAATTCTAAAGATTACATTTCATAAATAACAAACTCATTAAAATATCTCAAAAATCAGATAATAATTAAATTTATTAAATATTAAATTATAATATAATATATAATTTATATTAATTATTTTCACCACATGCCACCTTACCACTCCATCCTATCACCCTACTACACCACTTTCCCTCTACCTTTCCATCGAAAATAACCATTGGCTCCAGCAATCACTCTGATAGCCTCTTCGACGATTGCTCGGCAAATTGTTCCAACAACCACTCCCACCCCACCCCCACACACTTCCTACAGTACCCTACCCTCATTCCTATGTTCCAAAAAATATCCAGAAATTAAAAATTGGAATCACACGCCATCCCACCTATTGCTCTAAAAAAATTTCCAAAAATTAAAAACTGAAGATTACATTTCACATCCCGGAACCATTATATCTTACCCCACCACACCCATCCAAAAAACTTCCAAGTCAATGACATGCTATCCATGATTAATTGTGACCAATTTTGTATTCAATGTGATAGTTTGTGACCAAATCAATATTAACTGAGGCTGTATGTGATCAAGTCACAATCAACACAGAATTGACCACAACTTTCACAACAAATGCATAATTGCCCACAAAGAGTCACCATAAACAAATCTTCACATACCGCAAACCAATACCACAATCCACCACCAGTCATCACAACCTTCACTTCCAAGTTTACTATATTCACTGACCCGTGTTATCTATGATTAATTGTGACCAACTTTGAATCTAATTTGAAACTGTATGTAAATAAGTCATGAACAGTCACAGTTAACATAGATCTAATTTGTGACTATATGTAAACAAGTCACGGACAGTCACAATGAAGATACAGTTGGTCACACATGATTTTCGTCGCCATTACCATTACCACTTCGGCACTACCACCACTCCCAACAACGTCAACCAAATGCGCACACCAACACTTTCAACAAATCCTAATCACCACCACCGACATTACCACACCACTACCACCACATGAAAGATCCGTTGCTCGTAGCTGCAAGTCGAGGTGCGCCTCCTTTGAATTCTCCAAACACAGCCCGAGTTGTTGGACTCCACCACCAACATGACCACGTCAACCTCTTTTACAAACCTCGGCCAATATTCAGGCCTAATACCTTCCCTAACACACCAAAAATCAAGCCAAACACCAGTAGCTATGGACTATCTTTTGGGCAACACCACCTCCGGTGATGCCCATGCTGGTATCACCATCATTGCCACCACCTGCATCAAAATCCACCAACACCACCTCACTGTCGCCGCCGCCAACAACAAAAAACTCAACATAAAATTGCCGACAGCTACAAAAACACAAAGCCCAACAAAAATGGTGATATTTTGAAACTGAACAAGGCAATGGTCCTCCAATAGGGGCACTTCGTCGGCCACTAAGCCACCATCGTGAAGAACTTTGACGACTGCACCCATTATCGCCCTTACAGCCATTGCTTGGTCACGCGCGAAAGCATTTGTCAACCATGAAATCTAAAGGCAGCGATAGCAGCAGTGCCTGAAAAATCACTCCGAAAATCATATCCAAAACCATCCCTAAAATCAGAGCCGCTGCGCAGCGTAATTGGCGTCAGAGGCTGTTGACACATAAAAATTCAGCCCAAGTCGAACAGCCCAAGGAGTAAAGCCCAATTGGAGAATCCCCAAATCGGATGGCCCAAAGAACGAAGTCCAATCGAACGAGTCAAGGTGAAGGCCCAAATAAGGGGCTCAAGAATGCGGTAACGCCATTGCCCAAGTTTGCAAGTCGCCCAGAATCTGAACGAATGGACTGTCATACGGTCGCCCAGAGCTATTATTCTACTCTCGCCCAAACCTTCAAGTCGCCCAAGGTATCAACAAACATAACGCATCGTGGTTATCAAGGAATGTAGTTATCAAGGCAGTTGTTAAAGTAACCTTATCACATTCCACGACTCAAGGAATTCAATCGAAAGCGGTTGAACGATGAACGATAATGGCAGCAGTTAAGAGGCTGTTTCATGACAAAATGGCCACTACAAAGAAAGTGGGTAGTTATAGGACGATCAAGCAGTTTTCAGAGTAGTTAATCACAAAGAGATCGTCTATGAGGTATAAAAGGGAGAAAGGACGCAGAAGCAAAGGACCGAATCCAAAACTCTCGAACAGAGAATATGTAATTTTCATTTCCTTAGCTTTTAGACTTAAACACTTTTCTTTCTGTAACTCGTGTGCTTGCGCCCCTTGGAGGCACGTTGTTTTTCGTTTCCAATTGTAAAGTTCATCGCCAATAAAAGAACACCCCTTTTTGGGACTTTGTCTCAAGAGGTTTCGTCCCTTACACAATAGTCTGATCCTTTTTAATTGTTAGCGACTTAATCCGCGCGAAACAATTTGGCACGCCCAGTGGGATAGTGGTGTTAGGTGTTGAAAATACAAAGGGTGAAACAATATGCCTCAGAGATCCGACAAGGAAGGAGCAAGTCAGGGAGGAATCCAGTCTGTAATCGAGCGATATGAGGAGCAGCATGTCTCTCCACGAACAGATGGACAAAATCAGAGCAGTAACAGTCGTTACGAACCAATGACGGAGTTGAGTCCTCGAACCATGCGTGCATTGCTTGGAGAACTCACGCAAGACGTCGTTGAACAGGTAAATCTTCGAAGTATTCATAATATGGAAAGATTTACACAAAATGAAAATGCACACTAAGACAATATGGCCAAACAGCTAAAGACGTTAAACGAAACAATGAATAAGTTAGTATGCCAAATATGTCAACCGGCTATACCTCTTACAAACCACTTTCAAACTAGGACAATTGTGGGACATAATCCCTCTGTTCTAAATCCGAATCAAGGGGTGGAGTCGCTTTCTGGTCCCTCTACTTCAAACCAAGGAGGTACTACAGTGCCAAATCAAAATAATGGTAGTGGCATGCCTAACTTGGGGGGGTAATTCAAACGTGAGAGATAATGTCCTAAACAATGGACAGAATATTCCACGTGGTAACGAGGGAACAGATGTCCAGGCTAACGGTAATGGACCTAATTATGGTAATTTTGTTGCCAATCAAGGACCAAACATCAGATCTCATGCAAATCAACCGGTTAATCAGCCTGTAGGAATTCTATATGATCCCAATGTCATGTTGAGGAACCAGATTATGAAAATCGTGCAGGATCAGATGGCCTTTGGGGTGCGTCCTGTCATTAGGCCGACATACACAAAGCCATATCCCGATTGGGTAGACCAAGCATATCCATGGCCTAGAGGGTATAAAGTGCCAGAATTCTCACTGTTTACTGGTTTAGAAGAGGTGTCTACTCTAGAACACATAGGGCGATTCACGTTGCAAAGTGGTGATGTAACCGATTACCATAAAATGAGACTTTTCCCTAGTTCGTTAACAGGGGTAGCTTTCTCCTGGTTCATCAACTTGTCAGCGAACTCTGTTCAAACATGGCAACAACTGGAACAGTTGTTTCATGCTCAGTTTTATAAAACTGAATCTGAAGTCACTTTGGCTGATTTGGCGAATCTACGTCAAATGCCAAATGAATGGGCAGAAAGTTCTCCAAAGGTTCAAAACAGCAAGAAGCAAGTGTTTTGTACCTCTGCCCGAAAAAGAATTTGTCAAGATCGCACAAGGCTGCTTGAGCTTTGATTTAAAAAAGAAGTTTCAGGACAAGGAATTTCCAGACTTTTTCCAGTTGAGTGCGAATGTGATTAGGTATGAGCGACTGATAAGAGAA